AATTAAACATACACATAAATATTTCAGAATTATTAATACAAATGTTAAGGTTTTATTTGTTTTAATTGTCTTTGTGCTGTGCTAAAATTTTTAAAGTGAGCACCTTCTTTTCTTTCTATTATTGTTTATGTAAAAGCTTTTCTAAATTTATCAAGACCGTGTCCTAAAGAAGTAAAGAGAAGTAGAAATTTTCCCTACCCTTAGGGAGTATATACTTAAAATAGTTGAGGAAACATACATTCACATGAAAAATTAACACTTTTCGTAACACTACGAAAAGATCATATTCTATTATGTGATACAAGAAGTACCAATAACAGGCTGGCAACAGTAGATGCTCTGATGGTTCAAAGAAGAACTCTTCTTACTAAATCTATAGAAAGAGCTTCCAGAAATAATATTTAAACATTAAACCCACAACTTTTTAAATAACAAATTTTACCAAAGTTCATCCCTGATGCGTAGACTTTTGGGTATGTTATTTTTATAGCGAAAAAAATTCTATGTAACCAAAAAAAAACAAAAAACAAAAAATGCTTTTTATGGGTTATTTTCCTTTTGTTAAAAAATTATGAGTGAAATGTTGACCAGATGTACATTTTAATATTATAATCTTTTTATTCATTTAATAAACATTATGTAGTAGGCATGAGAGATAAAAGACAAGAGCACCATCTCTGCCCTCAGGGAGCTTGTAGTCTAATAGAGAAATGCAGGCATATTAATGAAGGGAGAAGAACAGACATAGGCAAAAATTTGGTTTAAACGTATGCATCTCTGACTATGTAAAACACACAATCAAAGGCATAAGTATCTATTCAGCCTTGTTGTATTGCCCATCCTCTGAGGAATGATAATGCAGACAGACTTAGTCTCTTATTTTTTCTATTTTTGCTAATTTTTCATTATAATCAAATAATATATTCTGAATAAGAGATTAGGAATCTATAAACTAAAGGGGGGGAGTTTGTTCTTTCATTCCTATGCCAGCTCTTACATACTTCCTTGAAATGGGTATTATAATGTGAATGTTTCTTCTTGCTGTCATAAAAATTCTCTTTGGTGAAGTGTAGAAAGTTTTAGAAACTCTATTGTGTTATGATATTTTTCTGTAGAAAACTTTAATTGATTTGTGTCTTATAATAAATAATTTTGTAGAATTTCCTCACCAAACAGATTACTTCTTACTGCCAAATTCTCTATATCTATGGAATAATTAAATTCCAAATGTTTGGAGACATTTTTATGTCATGGGCATGTTCTCTGAATGATAAGGTGTTCTATGAATGATAAGGTACCCTGGAAAACGTGAGACAGTCTTTTAAAAGAAATGCTGTAATCATACATTGATTTTAAATGACCCTGTCACATGTGAAAACAAATCAGATTGTTGCTCTTAATGAGCTTTTCAATTTACTATTCAGTAGATCAGATAAGTGGATTTAAGAGGTAATGATCCTGTTTAGTACTCAAGCTTGACTGTCAGATCCAGTAGTGGAGAGAAATCCCCAAGGACAAAAGCGTTGACACAGTTCTAGATGGGATAATGGGAATCAAAGCTAATGGATGATAAAAGGAATGGTGCAAGTTACAAGGATAATTGTGGATTAAAGCACTGCCATGTGTCAATGTTGACTGTTTTTTCTAGTATATTATTGGGTCAAAGCTGATGCTTTGAGAAACTGTTTTGACAGGCGAGTACAACAGACCTGCCTTTTTAGCTTCCTTCTCTTTTCAATGCCAGAAACATAACAGGAAAACTTTTTCTTATAGGGACCATCAATTTAAAAGATATATTCTTAATGTTAAATGCTAAAAATCACATTTTAGTTATTATATTTTTATTCAATATATCATTAAAAATTAGATTAATTCTGAGTTTTGCCATAAAAAGTAGTATTCATAGTCTTACAGAAGTACAATGTAGTTATCATATTGTCCAAAACAAGAAAAATAACTATACCAGAGCAAAGAAAGGTATAAATACAATAAAAATAAAATAGGTAAGTTAATACTGTGGTCATGTCCTTTCTAAAACCAGTATGTCAAAACATGGAATTCATGATTAATTTTATTTATTTATGAAAATGATCTTGTAAGCCATTTGTGCTTCGAGTTGTAGGGGTAATTTAAACATATCTATTTATGCTTTCATCCTTGTAAATGCACGTGTCTTTAAAATTCCACTCCTATGTGAGTCTGTGGCCCTGGAACACAGCAAAGCAGGCAGAGCAGGGCAAACAGCATGAGGTCAGGTCCCAGCTATTACCTGATTTTATAAAACTAGGATTGTATTGACAAGGGTGCTTCTAAAATAAAGTTACGAAGTGCTCCAGTGGCGCAATTGGGTAGCGCATGGTACAGATAAAATAAAGTTACGAGACAATTGCTATAATGAACTATTAAATATTCTTAAGTTAAAAATACCAGTACAGTCTGCTCTCTCTGTAACTGCTTTTCTTTTTCTGTTGTAATTATGATTCTATGTCTTTTGTTTGTGAAAGCAAATACATGGATTATTAATAGGAAAAAAATCTTCACTTTTTATTGTTTTCATAATATTTACGTAGTAATATAGTCCTAGTGGATCCAGACCATGACTTTTGCCATTACACACTAAACACACATGTAGTATTCACATGACAAATATTGTCTTAGGTTCTGGGACACAAAGAATAAGGTATAGGGCCAGGCATGGTGGCTCACGCCCGTAATACTACCACTCTGGAAGGTGAAGGCAGGTGGATTGCCTGAGTTCATAGGTTCGAGACCAGCCTGAGCAAGAGTGAGACCCCGTCCCTAAAAATAGCTGGGTGTTGTGGCAGGCACCTGTAGTCCCCGCTACTTGGGAAGCTCAGGCAAGAGAATCACTTGAGCCTAGGAGTTTGAGGTTGCTGTGACCTACGACTCCATGGCACTCTGCTGAGTATGAAAAAATGAGTCTGTCTCAAAAAAAGGAAAAAAAAAAAAAGAATAAGGTGTAGCATCATCCCTCAAGAAGCTCTCTCAGTGTAGTAGGCAAAATGGGCACCCAGACGATTACAGTGTGAAAGGCACCATGTTAGAGGAATGGACCAGACATTATGGGAACATAATTATAGGAGAGTGTAACTCACTCTGCCTGGGAAGGGGAAGAAGGCTTCAGAGGAGATAAATCTTCAATGGGAATCAGGGGAAGAGGAGCAAGAAGGCTGATTGGCAAAATGAATAGCATGTGAACACATAGAAATTTAAAATTGTATGAGAGGCCTTAGTGACCTATCAGCATTTGATTGTGGTTTGAGAGTGAGGGAAATGGTGGAAGATAAGGTAGGTTGGGGCCAAATTGTGAGCCATTAATCATATGAATATCACATTTTCTAAGAGACCCAATTCAAGTACTGTTATCCATGAGAGAGGTTTTGGATCATGGTGAGCTAAAGGAAACTTCCCAATTTACATACCATTTATTCTTCATTTGAGCCCTTTGTGTGCCTAAAGATTTCTGATGATTGAGAATTGATAAGATCACTTCTCTAAATTCTCTCTTCTTAGCTCCCTTTTTCCCCCAAACATCTTACAAGCCACAGTAATAACTTGATAACTTTAACCTTGTAAGCGATGGAGGCCTACTCTCTGGGGCAAGTCATAGATACACAGCCATTGAAATGCTTTTCTGTGGTACTCAGGAGTGAGCAGAAAAATCAGCAGGAATTTGAATTTCGATCTCCCTTTCTCTCTCTCTCCCATTCCAGTTTCTCTCCAGAATTCTGCAGGCCTACCTCCTTTCCTTTCTGACACTCTACACCCAGCTCCTCCTTTCTCCCTCTTTTCTCTCTCTTTGATTCATTCTGTTAGCTGAAAGAGGAGCCTTTCAGGCATAGGACTCTGGTTGAAAGCCTGTAACACAAGCTTCTGGTTAAAATGGTGTTTAAAATACAAATAGGATATTTCTACAATGAGCAGCTTTTCTCCCCTCCATGGCCCTATAACTGGGTGATTTCTGGTACCACTATAGTTTTTTAATCTTACCTTATGACCTATGACAGTATGTCAAGCTGATGTTCAGATATAAAAAACAAAAGGCAAAGGGACTAGAGGCTAAGTTTCCATACTTAGGAAATAGGTCAGAAGAAAATGAGAGGACACAATCCCATCGGATCAAATCGCACAAAGAAAAATCCCATACAGCTGGTGTCTGGCAGGGATGACCTGGAATCACACCAGAGCATCAGGGAGTATGGAGGTGTCAACCCATCTCTCAGCTTTGCCAGACTAGTAGGGAATATTCTATTGGCTACCAGTGGCATTTTCCCACTTGAAGTGGGTTATGTGTTTATAAGCTTAATGTGGCAAGAATTGAGACTGAAATATTATACCCCAAACTCTGCAACCAACACTCCCTAATTGGAAGTTTAGTGGATTCTCAAGCCCTGATGTTTTCAACAGAGAGTCCCTGAGCTTAGGATTTCAGTTTCAGCATGAAAAGTAAGACCTACCTCTATGTTTGGGAAAGCTTAATTAGATGATATTCGAGGAGAATTTCTATAAATTCTTTAACCTCCTTTGATCTTTTTTAAATCTTTACTTTAATAACTGCCTTAATAATCATGAAATAGTTTATATTTTGCTGAAATCTGGAATAGATGGAAACTTTTTAATGTTGGAGCCTTTTGTTGAGGTACTCTCCAACCTTTTGCATATCTACTCCCATCTTCAAGGAAGGGGTGGTTTACCACTTGGAGAAAAAAAAATTTATGTGGTGTCGTAGGAGTAAAATAGGTGTGTGGTTGTGTAAATGTGTGCATATATTTCAAAACAGGAGAGCTACTTTCTGGATTAAAAAGCAAATGTTAAAATTATAATTTTTTTTTGTAAAAACCTTCCTTTGCTGTCCCCACCCTTCCCTACTTCATTATGAGTGCAACTGTGCATTAAATCTTAGATTTGTTCAATTTGAATAGTCTTTTGAAAATATATGTTAATGATAAAAGTTTTAACAATAAAATATTTTTATGCAGGTATATGCCCGTATGTCAGAAGTCTTAGGAATAACAGATGACAACCATGTTCTAGAAACATTCATGACAAAAATGTGAGTTTCTATTTTGATTATTAATATTTCTTTTGTTTTAAATCTAATAGATCTTTTTACTGTATTTAAAACTCTATAGATATTAATTTTAATAAAAGATTTTAAAATTATGCTTTAATTCTTGGAATGTTGGTATTGTTCTTAATTGAAACTTAATTTCACATACTGAAAATTCACTATCTAAAGGACATTATAATGTCAAGTTTCCATACAGTTGCAGGGAGCAGCATTAGAATATGGTTTAAAAAGATTAACAGGCTCGGCGCCTATAGCTCAACCGGCTAAGGCGCCAGCCA